AGAGTGGAAAAGGTAACCTTTGTGTCATTCAATAACTTTATTTTTCGATAAAAACACAATCAGGGCATCACCACATGTATTGTATTTTTTAATGAATTGAGTTTGTATTTATTTTGTCATCTGTTTTATTAATTGGACCGTAAGCTGAATACCAACCTTTTAATATGATTCTTTTTATTTTATCAAAACACCTTGACTGCTGCTTTTCAACAAACCATATTTCATACCTTAACGTCTGAATCCCTTGCTGATAAATGCGAAGGGTAAATCAGTCCTTGACTAGTGCTGTGACATCTTAACTTTTAGCTGTGACATCCTACAGATTTATTTGTGAAGAGAGCTGATGTGTTTGAATGCTCTACCAGGAAGCAAGTTATTTCATCTGTTAAGAAGCGATTTATTTTTCTCTGACTTTCCAGGAATATGCTTCTCTGTGCTTTGTCTATTTTTTTTTACTGCTGCCTACTGAATTTCTCCCGCTTTCTTATCTCATGAGATGTTTCTCTTTGTTCCATGCGGGCTGTTAGAATTTCTCTCTCATGCTTTTCTGTTTGTTTTTTTCTTCCCTCTAGGTTTTTGCAAATGCATCCGTGTTTTTATCTCACATTTGTGACACTCCTTTTGCATCATTAAGTTTCCAAACAAAGACATCTGGTAATAAAGAAAGGTCTGATGAAAACCTAGATATTTTTTTGTTCCAATTCAAATTATTTTAATGGACAAATGACCAACCAAGAACTCTTACAGCTTCAAGAACACACAGTCAGGAATGTAAAAAGAAGATACTGCATTCTTATGCATTCATTTTGGAACTGTATCACCATATTCCTCCCATTTATGTTCCAGATTCAGAGAGCCCCTGCTCCATGCTGCTGTATCAATAAATCTCTCATCTGCATTATAAACCCGAGGACAACTATTTTAAATAGAAGTATTTCATCTTCCGATTAAGCCTATTCTTTGCCACATTTTCAAACAATGACTCAAACAGCTCTTAGACTGGACATTTCCGTTTCCATTGCCGTTTATCTATCATGTCGTAGGATATTGCAAGATATTTTATGAAATACAACGTTCTTGTTTTTGTACACAGCTTACAAATTTAAAAAAAAAATTTTCATGCTTTCTTTTGTCCTCTTCTCGCTCTGCAAGGTAATAGCTAGAGGACTCTGCACAGCTTTATATAATAGTGACCATTAATCATTCCACAATTCAGAGAAAATCTATACAAATTACACCTCCTCTTCCCAACACAGCCACTGGCTTGAGAGAATCCATTCAACTGTAGGTCATTGGACTCAAAAAATTAAACATAGTTTCCACTAAATTTAACTGTGCACAGTGAAGCAACAATTACCATTTATCAATAATCTTTATGTGTGTTACAGAGCATTCAATAAACATAACTCCAGGCATTTGACAGTATCTCAATAGACTAGGATTTTTTAAAAGGGGGAAACCGATTTCTTATAAAGATTCTTTACACATGGCCCAGTATATTCGCCCCTATCTGATTATTTTGAGCTTGAGCGAAATCCCCAAGTTCACTTTACAATACCACCAGACACAAATTAAAAGAAGAGATGTTAAACATAAAAATATATAAATTGTATTTTTTATTTTTTTTTGTGAAGAATCAACAAGTGAGACACACGTAAACATTTTTTAACTAATAGAAAACTGAAAAATTGGGTGGACAAAATTATTCAGCCCCCTTGAATTAATACTTTGCAGCGGCAGCTTTTTCTGTGATTACAGCTTCAAGATGCTGATGTCTATCAGTTTTGCACAGTGAGAGACCTAAATTTTAAATATTTGATATATTTACTTTATATTTTTACAAATATATATATGTATGTGTGTGTGTGCTTTGCGTGTGTGTGTTTTGTGTGTTTGTGGGTGTGTGTGTGGGGGGAATTCTACTATGCTCTTCTTTTTATTTTAACTTCATCTTTCGTCCCTGCTTCATGACAACATGCAATACAGCAAGGCTTTTATCCTAAAATTGCCTGCCACTCTCCATATCCATGTATGGACATGTAAGTGTGAGAGTGCACTTTGAGTGATTGGGATGAATAAAATAGTGTTAAAATATGCTATTATTACAGTTCTGTCCATTTATCATATACATGACGGGAAACATACAGATGGCAGGAGCAAAAGTTTATGAGCAGAGCAGTGTAAAAAGAGCTGCCAGCCAATTTTCATCCTATAGTAACTCCTGGTTCAATGATTTCTCCAGGTAAGTGACACATAGACATCTAGCGATCTACAAGGTGTAAAATAAGACATAACTCATCGGACCAAGCCACATTCTCTTATTGTTCTTTTTCTCATGTACTCGTGTGTTGAAAATGTTGATCAGCAACATGATCGCTTTTCACAAGCAATGGGAACAGGTTAACATTCCCATTGCCTTTACACAGAAAAGCATGGCTTCTTATGCCCTGAGATCCTACAATCAGCCGAATCAACAGAACTAGGGAAGAAAGCCTTTAGCTATGCAGCTCCTTGTGTGTGGAATTTTTTTTACAAAGAAACTGGAAGTTGACTGAGTTTTTATCTTTAAATATTGTTAAGTTGAAAGTGAAAGAATTTTGTGCAGCCTCAATGATCTGTAATAGTTTTACTTTATATGTTTTTTATGTAACTGTCATTTATTTTAATGTATCTCTGTTTATTATGTAACTTTGCTGCCTGTTGGCCAGCACTCCCTTGAAAAAGAGGTTTTTAATCTCAATGGGATTTTTTTCTTGGTTACATAAAGGTTAAATTAAAAAAAAAGGAAAATTCCTCAACTGTCTGCGGCTACTCAGTTCCACACACACTGTTATGCACAGTGTATTGTAATACACTTCAACCATAACCAGCATTTATATTCTTTGGCAATGTTATCAACTGAGGCATCTGCTGGTTTCATCGATGAAGGCCAACCTTTCTTCTATGCATACATCAAGGATGTTTATTTCACTCTATGTGCCATGAAATGCACCTAAATCAAAAAACAACATGTTTGTCTGCAACAGCTTCCACACACAAAAATCTTTCTTTCCAACGGCTAAAGCAACCACTTCCGAATAGCAAAAACAGATGGAACAGTTGTTTTCTTTGGTTTTTGCTTCTCCAGAGCAAATCACCATTCTCATCCCTGTGTGGAGGTTATGGTCCATCAAATAAAGTAGTGGTTTGAATTCTACATGTTTAACAAAGCAGGGCTAATAATTGAGGGCCAAGTCAATTCAATTTAAAACAGGAAATAAACATTTGTACTTGCAAAAAAAAGGACACAATTTCATTTTGCCCTCTTTTTCTTGCACCGTTTATTAAAAGGAAATTAAAGCCTTCTCCATTTGATTTGGCTACAAATTAAAGCAAATGCTTCAATTTATTTTTTTATTTATTGAACTTTTTCAGATTTAATTTGCTGGTTGTAGAATGTGTAGGCTGACAGCAAAACAAAGGAACGATCATTTTAGAAAAGGATTACTACATTTTCTGAAAAGTTGTTTGACCTCAAGGCCAAGGAAAAGAACCATCTCCAATTCTCAATTTCTGGCTCTAAGGACTGAACTGATATGAGACTTTGGGTGGAAAGAAAACTAACGGCACCTGGAGAAAATCCAAACATGTGGGTTGAGAGGATAATTTATATGAACTACAGACCTTTGCGCTGTGGGGCGATGGCACTAACTGCCACACAAACATGCCCTCCATGTTTTTTTTTTTTATCTTTGTAGTTTTCTAGATTCTTATAATAAGGGAATTTTAAGAATACAATTTTAGCATCTTAATAAAAGAGCATAGAACTGCAGGTTGATTTGAACTGTGCTTAAGTAATAAAAAGTCCTGCAGCTGATTTTCTACATTCTCTAATGCAAACATATTTTCTTCCACTATTGTCCTTGTAAAAGCCTTATATCTATACACATCATTTCTGACCTGCTTCACTGTCTCTATGAAAGAAAACCATCACTACATAAGGACTGCATCTTGAAGTGGATGTGAAATAGAGTTTTTCACCACATTTTATTAATTCCATGTAGCTAAAACGTTCTATTTTTGTCTGAAGCATCTCCTTCAACATATTTTTGTTGTACCCTCTTAATGGTTTGTGACACACTGTTAAAAGACACTGTAAAAAGTTTTTTTTGTGTGTGTGTGGAATATAGTGAGTAATAGTTGTGCTGTTAACAAACTCGTCCTGACTTTATCCTTGCAAAAAATATCTAAAAGTCTAAACTTGAACTTGTTCCTGCTGAAAAAATATCCCCAAACACAATGCTTCAGTCACATTGTTTACTATAGGAGAGGGTGTCTTCAGTTTGTTACTTCTCTTTGACCTAATATTGTTTTGCATATAGACTGAAAATATTCAGTGTTGGGAAATCAAGTTGATGATAAGCAGCAAATGGTTGCTCATATATTAAAGTAGAAATACATAAGTATGCAACACCTTTCAGACTTGTATTTATAAAAGATTATGAAAATGATTCGTCTTTTTTTTATCTTCATGATCATGATTTACTTTCAGATGGTCTATCTCAAAAGATTCTAATATATTAAAGCTTTTAAATGTAATATCACAAAAAATGAAAGTACACTGCAAAAAATTCTAATGTAAATAGGTAATTTTTTCTTAACATAAGTGCATTTTTTCTTGAATTGAGGAGGTAAGTTCAACACTTTGCCAATGGAACAAGACAATTTACATTTGTAACAAGAAAAAAAAATACTGAATTGTCTTATTTTAAGTATATATTATCTAATTATCTTATTTTAAGAGAAAAAATACAAATTCCATTGGCAAATCATCTTATCAACCTACTCAAATTAAGGGTAAATATGAAATTTCAGAAATTTTGACTTATTTTCAGATTGTTTTTGCAGTGTACTGTTTAAGAGGCCATGTGTTTTAAAATAGTACTTCACAACCAATGACTGAGTTTCCTTTTACCCAGACAGGTGCAAAGATTACCCCAGTGATTTTTTTTTCTACTCACGTTGAAGAGTCGGAATCTCGAACTCCTGGGCCTCTGGAGGTCCACAACCTGCCTTAGTGCATGCGCTGAGGTTGAAGCGGAAGAGGCGTCCCCTAACTAATCTTAACTGGTGCTGAGTGGCGTCAGGCGAAGTGATGTTCACCTCAAAGGAATCAATCATCTCGTTCGAAGTCTTATTCACTGCAGACGGGGCAAGAAAGATGTCAGGTCAGTTTAGATCATTTGGCGCCTGGGATGGACCAAAAACCATCAATAGTGAGTCACACTGTATTGTAACACAACAGAGCTAAAATGGAGGTCAATGGTTTAGCGAGAAGGAAGACGAAGAGATGTCATAAAATATCATATATAAAGCGAATATGAGAGATACAAGTGGTGACAGGTAAGCCGAGGAGGAATACATTAAGACGAAAGGCAAAGAGATGAAAGGTGGAACTGGAGAGCTCAAGAGGATGGGGGTGTAAACAAGTAGCAATGGATGAAGAGGAAGATACTGAGGCAGTTAAAATGAAATGCAAAATAAGATGAAATTTGGAGAAATGAAAAGGTAAAACCTGTGAAAACTATTCCAATGTAATGAAAAAAGCGAAAAAAAGAAAACAGATAAAAGAAAATAGAAAAAAAATGACAGAAAAGAAAGTTGATAAACTAACATATTATCACCCAACATGCATTATACATCAAAGACAGGTTAAAGCAGCACTTATATCCTACTGAAAGCCCCCTCAGTGATGTCACCATCGTGCAAATGTTGGAACTGCAGGTGAGAGCTGGCCGTGCCAGATCCTTTGTGCATCTTCGGCAGGGCACAACACTGCATATTTTATGTTTCTGGTGACAACAGATTAATCATTTATTTATCACATTACTGCCTTGTAAACCAGCTGGACATGCAGACTGCGCATACACTGTTGCACCACATATTCCAATTTGATTTATCTCATAAACTGTAGAGTAAATGTAAAACTTTTTTAGTTACAGTACATGTTGAATTAATTGAAGTAAAAAAAAGATACATTTAAATGCTCACAGAATGGGCTGTGTGGGATTGTGTGTGTAAAGTTGGACATCTGAAACTGGAAATATAAGCAAAGGGGGGGAGTATACTGAAAAGCTGGCCAGACTCCGTGGGTGCAGATGGAGGCGGCACAGGGCTGTCTCTGCAATCACATTTTACACAAAAGACTTTAGAAATGTCAGCAAACGAGAGTGTAGGCTTTGAAAATACAGATCGTAATGAAAGCTTCTCTCTCAGTCATTTGCCCGAGCTATACATCATAGAGGCACACTCTTGTATGATGAAGCGCTGGGACTAAGAGTGATAAATGTCAGTGAAATTTACACAAGAGGCACCACCAGCACTAGCTCAAACATTTCTACTGGGAGCTAAAAGGAGGGGGAAAAAGCAGTAGTCCAAGCAGAAATGTGATCAGCAACATCCAGGGAGCCTTTAGAACTAAGTCTGGAGGTGAATGTGTTGAAGGGTTCAGTGTTAAACAGTGCCCCCAACTGTCTGATGAGACAACACACATGAAGGGGGGAAGACTGGATTCATTCTGCACAAGTTATAAAAGGATTTGTAGAAATTTTAACATTTGTATGTATTAAGGAAGATTATATCTTCCCCCTTCTGTTTTATTACTTACTAGTAATTTTTAGATGTCTGAAATTTGTTCAGTGTTATTTTTTTTCCCTCTAACATCTGAAAGTTAAAGCATTGTGTAAACGGAAATGATCAATTAAAAACAGGATTGCTTTTTTAAAAAACATTTCTGTTGACCAATATATGAAGTGTTAATTGTGATCTCCTTGCACACTTGCCAAGCCGTTTCAATATGGGCAGATTCTGTTTTTCTGCTTGCATGGCCTCAGACACTGGGATGCAAAAAGACCATGAAGAAAACAGATTTGGAAACTGCAGTTACTTTTGACAATTAGTCATGTTTTTATCATTTAAATTGATCATTTTATGCATTTATTCCCTTAGACCTTAAGTATGTAATTTGATGCATTAACATGTAAATGGCGATAGTTGTAAAGGGGTTTTTTATCCCCAAAGGTCCGTCTTGAAGGCATTTTAGATCACAACTAGAATTAATCTAGCTAAATACAGGTAATTATGCATATTTTTTTTTATTAATTCTACCCAGGAACCTGTTTTTTCCTTTTACAATTTCATTTTCAGAGAAAAGACGCACTATTGTGGTGTAGAAACACAATAAAACGTTGGGCTAATGGTTAGAGCAGTGCGCTTGAGAAGGTTGCAAGTACCTTGTTCGATCCCCGCAGCCTGCACTCTGGGACCCTGAGCAAGACCCTTAACCCCACACTGCTCCCCAAGGGGATGGGTCAAAATGCGGAGAGTGAATTTCCCCATTGTGGGACAATTAAGGGATTTGCATTCTATTTACATAAAACTTGAGCAATTTGACAAAAAAAAAACACCATGGGAAAAGGGTTTTAGTAGCACTTTGAGCATTCATCAAGAATTGGAAGGTTCCCTTTTGTAAGCTCTATTTAACACATTTGTTTCCAAGCCAATAACATGTGGAAATCTTCACCTAAGGACTTGAAATGGATTCAGGCTGGCTAATATCAGCTTAAGACTACCGCAGTTTACCAAACACTCGTTCATGATCAACAGCCAGTCTATGATGCTTTTCGACAATCATTTCTACCCATTGTTTGTTTTAAGGTAATTAAAAATTTAATGTTGTATATGATATTTGTGATATTTACTTTGTTATTGTTGCTTAAGTGTATTCTAAACTGTTTTATGATGTTAAAGACCCATCTGTTGATGTGTGTTGCTAATTTTAAAATGTTAAAGTGTTCATTTTTAGTTAACGCAAATAAACACTGCAAGCAAATGTTTTCTTTTATGTCCAGAAACAATGGAAATGACAAAACAACAGTGTAAATATTAAAGTTAATAGTCAGAAAGTTTGAAAGCTTAACTGTCAAGAAGCAGAGCAGTCAGACTTTTTACATACATAGGTGATACTGGAGAAAATAACCAGTGAGGAGGCCATTGTTCACCAGCGGTGGTCCCCATTCCAGCAGAATGGCATCATTCTGAATGTTTTTGGCAACCAATATGGATACTTTCCCTGGAACTGTTGAAAAGAAAAAAATATATATATAAAAAATTCAATAACTTAAATATTAATATCATTCTTTAGAATATTATTATTATAAATTAATTTATTGATGTCACTTTGAGGTTAACCATGAGTATGAGTGCAATAGAAATATATTAAATGCCAAAACTGTTATTAAGTTCTCTTTATTTTCAACAAGAGGGAAATTAAAAAGACAGTAACAAAACACCAATATCTGCAACCAAGATCTTATTCTATTTGTCTAAAAAACACAACTCCCTCCCTGCCATAGTGCAGCTCTTTATTAAATCTGCTTTCTTCTTCACTCAGTAATGAAACTACTAAATAATGTTGTTTCATTTAGATGCTTGTGAAAAACATAAAGAGGCGGTATTTTTTTAAAGATTTCTACATCCAATTCAACAGTCTATTTTTGTGTTTTACTACTATGAGCTATTTGCTTAATTAAAACTTTTTCATTTGAAACATTTACTGTAGGAGAGAAAAACTAAGTAGAGTAAAGAAAATGATTAACCTAAAGTAATACAACTTCCTATGTTTGACATATGGGAAGAGAAAACAAATTAATCCAAACAAACTAGGAATGAGAAAATTTCATAAAATATAAATTTCCATTTTTTTTTTAACCCTGATGTCTTGATCAAAAAAACTGGTGAAATACTGAATTATGGGCTCAACTATCGTTCTTTAGAAGGTAGAAATGTTTACTTTAATACCACTGTAAATTATATGTACAATTGCATCTAGGGAAGAATTACATCTGATATAAACATTGATTTGTTATCACTATTTGCTGAATGAAATGTTCAGGTTTGTCTTTGACATTGTATTACTAAAACATATTTGCACATATCAATATTCAGAATATAACACTTATACAAGAGTTTCCTTTTTTTTTCTTCTTATACTGTAATTATCCTGTACTGTAACAGTACTATAAAGGAGCATCTTTTACTATATTATATTAAGCTTTTTTTTCCCTGAAGAAATAACAATTGGAGAGTTTTTGTACAACAAACAACAGTTTTAAGGAATAAAAAACATATCGGTTTGTTTCTATATATAATTAGATGTACTGTATGAGTTCAGTTTACTTAATTTGTGTTTTTATTAACCAAACAGAGGCTTAAGGAAGGAAGTCAGTCTAACAGCTTAAACCTAAAGCCTTTTCTGAGAACCTGATAAGACTTTAAATTAAATAGTCTCCATGTTTAATAAGTTAAATGTACGACAAAACAATAATTTAGACTGGGGTAAATGATATTTGAACCTTTTAATGTTTGTTGTAGCATATCGATAGATCTATATACAATACCCCCAAAAATACATTAGGTTTTTTTTCCCCTCAAAGCCAGATATTAAACTTGATTTTGTTTAGTTGGGTTATTAAAACCATTCTACTTTGCTAAATGCTAAATAATAAGAAGAGATGTTTTTTACCCTTTTCAATGTCATATATTTTAATAATTTAAAGTAGATTGTTTTTGGGCTGGGATTAATGCTGGAATAGGTTTTAAACCAAAAACTCTTCATATTTCCCCCAAAAAGAAAACATTTTAACCTAGTATCATGGAGGTTTATTCTCTTTCCAATATTTTAGATGATCTCTTTGAATTCACATATTGTGACACGCCTGCACTGTTTTCTTAAAGTAGAATACATCCCAAGTATTTAAGCAGGTAGAATCCTTTAAGTTTAAGGAATGCAAATACAATTAGAAAGTGTTTAGATAATTCTATTGCCAAAAGTGAATAAAATTGTTATGTTGTATGAAGGTTTTAAATATAAAATATATTTGATCTACTTCTCGAACTTTCTGCAATGTACAGTATGTTACCAGCAGAGATGGCAAAAGTACTCACTTTCCGTACTTGAGTAAAAGTACAGATACTTGTGTTAAAAAATACTCTGGTAAAAGTGGAAGTACTGATTAAACTTCTTTACTCAAGTAAAAGTAACAAAGTACAGGCTTGTAAATTTACTTAAAGTATAAAAGTAAAAGTAGAAACCACTTTTTTCATGCCGTTGCCTACATTTTAAATGGATGTCTGCCAATAGGACTAGATCTCCGTTGTGTTCATTTTCAATCATCTCGTCGTCCATGCTACTATGCTAACGCCACCGCCACCAAGCTGCAATGATTTGCCGCCAATGAATACCGCCGAATCTGTCGATTCATCTTGTAGTGGTGCGTCAAATGCAACGTAGATTCCCATCCAATTAGATTGAATTTGGTATTGATGACGTGAAAAATAATAACGGTAACTCCATTGAAATGATTCAAAACTAAAGTAACGAGCCAATTTTTTAAAATGTAAGGAGTAGAAAGTACAGATATTTGTGTAAAAATGTAAGGAGTAGAAGTAAAAAGTCGCCATAAAAATAAGTAGTAAAGTAAAGTAAAAATATCAGAAAAATCTACTTGAGTACAGTAACGAAGTATTTGTACTTCGTTACTTCCCATCTCTGGTTACCAGGCATTTAGCCCTTTGTTTAAAATCAGTTTATCGTAGCATTTTAGCAACAATCATTATTCTTCTAATTTCTCTTTAGGTCCTTTTTTTAAGAGACAGAAAATCAAAAGTAAAAGCCACAATATTTATGTAAATTGTATAAATTCAAATGTCAAGCTTTTTTCTTTTTATCTATCTGAAAGCAAAACAGCACACATGTTGTATTTTATGGCTAAGTGGTCTTACCACCCTCTGGAGTATGAAAGGTCACTGGATCACTCTTAGGTCCTTTTCCCTTCTTGTTATAAACGTTAACAGTGAGTATGTACTCTGAGAAAGCTTCAAGTCCTGGCACAATGGCATCAGTCCTCTGTCCAGGGAAAGACATGCTTTCTTTACGTTCCTTTAAAACTTTTTCAGGATTCAGGAAACTTTTTGTTCTTTCCCAGTAAACCTGTGAGGTAACAACAAGCAGGGGTGAGATAGAAAGTAATAATAAAAGAACAAGAAGTAAGGAAAAAGAGTGTCTGATAATGAATCAACTAGTTAAAAAAATATAATTTATAATTTTTTTATAATCCAAATGGTAAATGATAATACCAAAGACACTGTTGTGAAGGTTTTAATACACACAAACAACTAAAAAAGATGCAAGTCATGTTTTATTCATGTACATTAATTCTTGACAATAAGGTCCATTGCCAAATCTTGCAAAGACATTGGATTCTAGAAATATATGCAGGAAACGCAAGTTTTAAACCTTTGATGAACCCATATATAGACTAGGAATAACCCTTATAATCATTACCAAATAATCACAAAATTGACTCTACATTCCGTCTGTAAACACATTAAATGAAGCATGAGCACATTGCATATAACTACACGCTTTAGTGTGGACATTGTTAGTGATGGAATTCTCTCAGGCTTTTTTAAGTGTCAATCGCATGTTTACAAAAATAAATATCAAAGAAAGAATAACAAGAGAGACTCTATGACTTTATCTCTAAAGATATAATATGAGATTTATTGTATGGAAAACAAGTAGGCAATTGGCCGAAACACGCTATGGCCGGTTTAAAGTGCTAATTCCTTCTTCGTATTGTCTTTATTTAAAAAAAAAATCATTGTTTTAAACCAACTCCACAAAAGGTGTGATGATGCTTCTACTTCTTATATAAATGCAATAATAATAGAAAGATAGAATTAATCATTATTTTCTGTAACTTATTAAATCAAAGCTCTTGAATGGAGTCAAATTGATTTAGACAGGTCAGTTTTTAAACAAAAATGAATTCCAAAATTTTCCAAAAAATTATGTTTAGTGCATTTGTGCTCTCTATTCCTGCTTAATGAATACCTTATAAGTTGCCACACCACCAGACATTTCAGTAAAAAAAATATGCCAGCATAAACCTCAAATTCTTATTTACTTTTATATCAATAATATTAATATTAATAAGGTAAGCATGAGAAAAATAAATCCTTAGAAACTTACATTGTACCCGCCTAAGTGCCCTCGGACTGTGGCTGGGGGAACTGGACTCCAGCTGACTCTGAGAACAGTGGAGTTGATAACCTCCACCGCCACATTTTGTGGTGCTGCAGTGGGTACTTGAAGGAAAAGAGGGGAAAAAAAATATACATATGTAAAAAAAATAGTTATGATTAAAAAAAAAAATCTTATTCAAGATAACAAAACAAAGACTAAATAAAAGCACGGAAGTGGTGATAAGTGAGGGAAAGCCTCAATAGGCCTAAAGCACATAATGTGTCGTGATCTGTCAGCTGTAGCACAGCTTCTGACTCAGAGTCGGAAATTTTACTTTCTTCTCTTATACAAAGGTTATCTGCCACCTGCTAGATTTAACAATGCTGTTGTTCTTGCATTTGTCAGAAAGGTCGTGGGGGGGTGGGGGGGAGGGTCACCACTACACACTGGCACATGGTAAAAGCCTTCAACTAAAAGAGGAAAAATAAGAAAAGAACTTAACCTGACACATTTTCCCGCAGACAGTGCCAAAAGACAACTGAGGACGCAGGTGGAAACGATAGCAGAAGAGGTTCAAAGTAAGAATAAGAGAAACAATCACCAGGTGTAGGAACCTAGTCTTCACAGTTTGTTAAATCAACAGGAAACTCAGAAATAAAGAAACCGACATGACAAGATGACATATGACTCACCATCCTCTCCTGAGTAACCAGTTACAGGTTTTGGTTCTGGACCCCAGCCAAGGCTGTTCCTGCTCTGAATTTTGATCTCGTAAGGTACAAAGGTGGATGTGTTCCTCACGATGAAGGAGGGTCTTGTGACCAGGTGCTCCTGCCATTCATCTTCCACATCAAGTTTTCTGTAGGAGACCTTATACTCAAGTCCTGGGCCATTGTATTCAGTAGGAGAGAGCGACTGCAAGACAAAACAGGACACGTCAAAACCATGTAGTCAAGAGTACATACAGTATGCAGCTTTTTAAACTGATTATAAAAGATGACCACCGAATAAATCTTTTTGATGCAAAAATAAATCATACTGAATAGACAGCCGATGTACTATCTGGTGTAGGGCTGAAACAATCGGATTAATCATGATTAATTGATTATATAAATAATCATCAACTAAATTATTAATTAATTAATCGTTAGCTGGAGTATAGAGACTGAAACATGCCTTTAGCTGACAGAGCGACCCACTTAGAGCAGCAATTATACCAAGATAAAAAAAAAATATGTAAACATTTTGCATTTAAGATAAAAAACTTTTTGGTCTGTCAATATGCTCTATCCAGAACTCCTCAAGTGGAAAGGTTTTAGTGCCACCTGTAGGGTTGTCAAAAGTATTGATACTCAAAAAAGTATAGATACTGAAAGGTTGTATCCGGATACAATACTCATTTTTAAAAGTATCGATACAGTGCTACCACTAGTGGCACCTAAACAGTCATTCATCTAAAGTGCAGAATAGAGGAAAATGGACTTTCTGAACACTGTGTGATTGAATAATTCTCTGCACTTTTTAGTTTCAGACTTTTTTTGTAAGGGGTGCAGCTGCTGAGAATGATTTTTGTTTCTTAACCTGTTTGGCTAGCGTCATTGCTATGTGTGCAAAGCATAGCCAAGGAAGGAACACTTAATTTTAATTTTGTAAGTTTTTTTATCAAGCTTGCTTAATACTGTGCACATCAAACAACCTCAAAATATTGTTCTTATTGTTTATTGTATTTATTTATTGTATTTTAGTTATTAATCAAAATATTTCTGTTGAAATTTGGACCTTTTATCCTTGTGGTATTGAAAATGGTATCGAGTATCGAATATTTTTCTTAATATCGATATCGAGTTGAAAAGTTTAGTATCGTGACAACACTAGTCACCTGGTTTGATTTAGCCTCTTTGGCTATCCAATTATTAAGCAATGAATCAAAAAAAAAACTATCGACAGAATAATCGATTTGCAAAGTAAAGTAAAGGTGCAAGAATAATATTTAATAATAATGCCATGAATGCTGTGTGGCAACGTGAGGATCAGCTATAGCTTTACTGAGTAGTTAAAAAGTCCCGTTTGCTTTAACAGCAGCTCTCGCTTCTTTGTCATTGGTGGTTTTGGAGTTCCTATTTTTCATATTTTTATTTTTGGACCATAGTCAATGGTCTTTTGGGAAGATGTTGACTAATAGATTTCCCTCAGGCCTGTTTGCTGGCCATAAAGAATAGTTACAACATGTTGACTACAGCAGGTATTGGTATAATGTGGATGATTAATGCTGGACATTAAATCAAGCTTTTTTTCTAAGTGAAAGCTAAAAATAACCACCAACTAAAAAAGAATGCTTTGGACAGCTGAACAAAAGCTGGTTTTGGGTTCAAGTGTGGCTTAAAACCAGGTTAGTGAAAGCTGTAAACATGTCCTGAATATGTCTGTATGGTTGATCTCAAAGCGGTGACTCCAGTCGCATTTGATGCCTCATGATTTTCTGCAAAACTCTTCATCTACAGTTTTTCTTCCACTAAACTTTCCCCCAAATGTCCCTGTACACAGCACCTTCGGCCTTCATTTTTATATTCATCGTACTTACTGTACATGATGAACAAAAATTATGGTCAGTATCAGTATGGTTGAGTATCAAAATGAATGAGTTTACATTTTATAACTTTAACTAACCTTTAATCATTTTCCAATTTATTGAGACAAACTCATGTTAGAGTATTTGTGAATGTTTCAAATTTAAAATCTCAATTTAAAAAAAAAGATCTTACGTCCCAGCTGATGTCCATTTCATGGGGAAGGTGTCCGTGAATTTTGACGTTATCTGGATTTCTGTCTGGTGCTTCAAAGAGAAAAATAAATGTGCATATAATTAGGTTGCAAAGAAGAGAATCTATTGTTGAAGATATTTTTTTATATTTGCTGTGATTCACTTGTATTACACAAAGTTAAAATGCAAGATGGAAATATTTGCTCATGCTGTAAACGTTTTTACACTTCTCACTGTAGGGTGACATGCTCAAAGACAAACACTTTGAAAATCGACAGATTACCTCCCAAAAGCATGCTAATAAAATTAAGTGAGTCTTACCAGCAGGGGGTGTTTTGAGTCTCTCTGTGGGCTCACTAGGTGGTCCAGGTCCAATGGCATTAACAGCATAAACTCTGAACTGATAGTTAAGGTCTCCATGAAGAACGAGCTCGGCTGTTGCCTGGTTACCAACCACTTTCTGCAGCTCCTTCCACCTGCCGGGCTCCCACTGGTGCTCCTCATACTCCACCACAAATTCTACGCACGAGAGAGGAGGATCAGTCATATTTAATCATCACCTTACTGAAAAATGTAAATGCTGTCAGATAAGACTTTAATTGCCATTTATACAGAAAGAAGGGTTAGTTTAAGTAAGAAGCTCAAAAATACAAATGCAACTCGACTGATGAACTGACAGAAATCTTTTACAATGACATAAAGAGCAAAGTTTGAAGTTATGAGATAACTCAGATAAAGAGATTTAATTTCTTTATGCTACCTTTATTCATTCTTTTCTTAACAGAAAGATCCAGACAGTCTACATAAAGAGTTAAGAATATAAAAGACACTGAAAAACAGAAAGAAGCTTCCCCTGCTCAGCATGTCTTATATTGGTCAAAAAAGTCAAATGAAAAGCAAGAAGCCTTCCTTAAACTACAAATGAAAGGAGGTCCATATGTAGGTAAAAGGATAAAAAGAAATGTTGTGATGTGTGAGAACACATTAAACCTTGTGAACTCGATACATCCTTGAAGATGCAATTCTTTTTAACATCTGAAATAGGAAACATACTCATTTTTTACAAGCCTGCAAAAACATACTGACAGAGACAACTCAGACTCTTATATTCTAACTAAATCAGCTCTTCTATTAAGCTTTACTGAGGAATCAATCGTGCTGTGGTTTGCTTTGGTGATTTATTTATTTTATTTTTTTTACACAGGTGTATGTAATATTCTCTCATTGAATAACATTCTTCAGAGCATGATAAAAGAGCGGAAATGGTCTAAAGCCTCCTTTCTTTAAGTCTTCAACCAGAAGTGTGGCTTTTCCATCTTAAAAAGCATGTTAGTGTTCGGCTTTAAGCAAAACCTGCTGAAAAAACCTAGAGTGTGAAAGTGGCTTCGGGTTATCAAGTGGACTCTTTGTTCAAGCAAAAAAAATCTCACAAGAGTTTGGTTTTCGAAGAGTACGATTTTGGTCCTCCTCCTGAATTAAAGTCATCTTTGGCAGGAAGCTATGATTAGCCCATCATACTTTCACCACTCCTGTCTCTATTCCACCAAAGGGCCAATTCCAACAAGCAGAGACTCGTTCAGTGACTGTTACGTTTTGCTGCTTGTGCAACTTTTTACCTATTGTGTAAGAGACCGGAAAACAATGGTAAGCTAACCAGGGCAAACTGCTAATGCTGCCAACACTTGATTCACATGAATGCACAACACACAATTTAAAGGCTCTTGCATACCCTTGCAAGAAAAATGGGTATTAGAAGGGGTCCAAATAAGCTTCATTTCATTATTTTTCTCTAAAAAGGATTGCAAAAAATGTAAAAACTATTTTAGGAGGATGGTATATACCAGGTTATGACTAAAATAAATGCATTATAGTGTATCTGCATTAACCCCTAGAACCCGACGGACCCACCGGTGGGTCCAGCTGCCACGTGACCTCGTAATTTTAACAAACCCCCAGTATTGATGTAAAAAACACATTTGGCACAGTTTGGTGACATTTTTGGATAAATGTGCCAAAATGGCCTCTCAGCCTAAGAAATTTCTCACTAATACCATTCTAAAATAAATATGATTCATCTGATTGAGTCCAAATTTGGTATATTTTTACACAACATTTAGATTTAAAAGTCTGGACTACTTTTTTTGTGCTATAAATAATATTTTGGTAGTGTTTTGCAATGTTTATTTCAAAGAAAATTTTGGCGAGGTTCAAAAAATGCAAAATATTTTGTATTTTGTCCCTAATATTTCAGGCAGGGTCAAAGCTACAATGGTGCTGACACCAGAAAACCATTCTATGACATCTTACCTTTACAGACATACCAAAAGTTTCTTCTTAAATCTAACAGCTGTGAGGCTATAAGTGATTTACTTTTGTGTGTTTTTGTCAGGCAGAAATTTATTTATACCCCCTGAGGGTGTAAGAGGTTAAGTTTAAAAAGGACTTAAACAGCGGTTGGGAAATTCTGCATGATTAATTAATTTGCAGTCAAGCATTTTTCTATAAAAAAATATCTTAACAGTAAGACTTTTGCATAAAAATCACTACATTTGTGGAAATCTGAAAAAAGAAGCCTGTTAGAGTAGCAGTCCATAAAAAATCATGGCTCTATTGGGAGTAAAAGATTCCAGAGGTCCAAAACACTTAAAAAATAAATCTAGCCAAACATAAAGTAAACTCAGCCATCAGATGTGGTTGAAAAAAGAAAAAAATCATCTCGGCATATCAACCGTTTATTTGTAGATGAAGAGAGCTCAGGGCAGAATCACTGAAACAGGTCAGCAGATAACTGCATAGAGGCATCCAAATGGCTCTCTGCTTCCCCTGATACCAACTATATTTCTTCCCTTAAGAAGATAGATGCACCCTGAGCTGCAGTAGATAGAACTGTTAGGTTTCCACATCTGCTGAAGTGACTATCTATTTATGATCGAGGACTGTTTTATCTGTTATTTAGCTGTTTGTCCTTTCGTGACAACTTCAGCTGTCAAGGAGCTATAAAGTGCAACCATCTCTGTGTAGATCAGACCAGAAGTGAGACATTAATTTTTAATTTTTTCGGCTGCTTTCAATTCTTACAACAGTTAATGTGCAATGTTGATTATCACCAACTTCCTTTTCTAACTATAGTCATACATCTGCACATTTTTCTTATTTTCAATTTACACTTCCAAAAAAATTTATTTTTTCTAATTTTCTGTCCAATCATTAGAGACTCCACTCTTTGACTCCAGAATTTAAGTATGATTGTTTAATTTACTGTACAGCTTCTGTTTAGCCTCTGAACTATAGGACTATTTCACAATTTTGCTTAAGAATTCTAGAATGTATATGATCATCTCGAAGTCTGAGATATTTGTTAAAGTGTTCAGTTCTTAGAAATGTTATTGCTAATGTTTTCTTTTTCCTTTGAGTCCTCCTTAGATTAAGAGTAAAGTCAATACCAGTATAAAATGTTCAGATAAAGGATTTAAATCAAGGTCACTGTACAAAAATAATTTGTGAAAAACACTAAGCTTTCATTTAAACTGTGATTTTTAAAGCCAGTACATGTTTTTTTTATATTTAGATCGACTTATTGCATGGTCAGATTTTGTTTTCAGCTATTTTTTTAAGGCATGCATTGTTGTTTCTGAACCATGCTAAATATGCTAAATAGAACAAAGCAAAATAAAAGATCATCTTAGTTTAAGTGTTTATACTATTTGAAAGAGTCCCAGCTTTAATTTGAAAGTTAAAACAAATTACATTATTGTTTTTATGCACTGCTGTTTCTAGAGCCAGAGCAGGAATATTTTAAAAAAAAGCAGAGTCAAAGCAATAAAACCATAATAGCTCGAAATTATCAGTAAGATGCATTTTCTGAAGTCATACGATGATTGTTTATTATTGAGAAACAACTTGCTTTTAAACATTGACGGTTTAATGTTACATGCTGGTCCTAAACAATCCAACACGTATTATTGAGGAGGGAAAAAAGCTGTTAATGATTTTGTAAAAATATCTCACTTAATTTAGAAAAATGGAATTCTTAGCTCTCTTAAAATGTACCTAAATTCTAACATTTTGCAATTTTTCATCATAACAGAAAAATATTGTTAAATAGCTTTACTTTGCAAGTTAATTTACAGTTGATCAAGTAGGTTAAGCACTAGCAGTTAGTTATTGTACCGTTAATTAAATTCCAATTTAACAGCATGTTGCTATAATTTTTTAAAGCCGTTGGGAAAAATAATTCTGTAGTCCTGCGATTATCTCTGAGAATCTTTATGGAGACAGTTTGCTGCTCTGTTTTTAGGGGACCCATTTTTGAGGGGCATGATTATTTTTTTTGGGCTTATCTTTAGACAAAACTAATTCTCCTGCTTCATTCCTCGGGCTCAGAGGGCAAGATTATGTTTATCTCCTGAACTGCTTTGTATGTGTTATTATTAAACTACTGATATGTCACACAGTAGCCTATTTTAAACTTGAAAAAGATGCTAAAATTGGTAAAGAGAGCTGTGTGAGTTAAGGTCAGGTTTTTCTCCAGTGTATATTGCATACCATTTTCATCCCTTTTATAACTGAGGTACTGCACCTACAGCTCCAAATAACTAGCTATTTTACATTTTTATACTTTGCCAATGCCGTTGTGCTGCTCTTTTGTTTTATGTTTTACATGAACTCATCATTTATGAGGAAACCAGTCAAACACTGCAGTTTCTTTTCTGTTTGCTAGCTCCCCTTTCTGCCTTTTATTTTCCTTTAATAACACTTTGTAATAGACTTGTGTGAAAGGTATACTGTGATAAATTTTTTTATACTGCTTCTTAATCCATGTTATTGCAGCTGGTTTTCTTCTGGATTACTCTGTTGTTGCATCTATTTTATTTAAATATATGTACTGATAATTAGTAATTTATTATAAAACTAATACTTAAGCTTAAACAATAAGTCCTTCTGTCCTGTGAATGAAAAAAAAAATTGATTGAATCTGTAATATATTGTTTGTACATCTTTAAGGATTGATGTGATTTCATACATTTCACTATTTTAGTAAACCGATTATGCACATTCTGGAAAACACAATAAAAACTAAACAGTTTAATGTAATTTATTGCCATTTTACTGTAACTTTACTGTAATTCAATTTACAGTAAAATACTGTTTAAATAAATTACAGTAAATTAAGTGTTAAAAAAGGAAATTACTGGAGTCCCTGATGTACAGTAAGTAATTTACATTTTTTCCACAGTAAAATCTTAAATCTACAAAATCCTTACAGTGCATATTATGTTGTGAGATACTCTTTGCTGCTACTGTGTTGCTGAAACTCACTTTCTGCAATTGTTAATGTGATCTGTCATTCCTTTAATTTAAGTTATGCATATTGACTCATTATTGATGGCAAAAGAAAATTTAACAGCAGTTTTCTTTTGTTCAGTTTTTAATGCAGTTAAACAATTTTTGGGGTTATTTGGGAGAACTTCAGGAAGATCAGAAGAAGCTTTTTAATAACCAAATCCTTTTATATCGTCTATGATAAATGATGAAAAAAAGCCTTAAATGTTAATTTCATTTGAAAAACGGTTTAGTGCATCTGGGATGTTTTGAAAAACGATCTTCCTAAGTAACTTTGTTTTCAGAAATTGAACCATTAATCGACTTGCTGATTGACTTGAACAGTTGTAACATTGCATTCAACTTTTCATGTTTAACCTCACACTCACTATGTCCTGATTGTTTTTTGTTTTATAACCTACAAACAGGAAAAGGTCCTTTCTATTCTCCTCTGCCTGTATCTTCTCTACAAAGCAATCCTACCTGCAATCATTGTGAAATAGCTTGGCAGCTTTAGGGCGTGCAAAATTAGTTCACTTGGCTCCTTTAAACTCTTACCACAGCAACACAAAATCTTCATCAAAATACGGTGGCTTAGAGCATTTGCGCAAGGTAAATAGATTACCAACCTATTGCAGGTGCATTTTTTTGTTTCCATAGACCAATTGGCACTTCTCATTCTTGACTATAGTAAAGCAAGTCCTTTATATAAAATAATAGCTCAATAAGAAATAAAGGTGCTTAGCTCCAATTGCAAAATGATGACAAAGTAATTCCAATTTAGATGTTGCTATATATGAAATATGCTGTGAAAATCCATTGTGATTCAAATGCACCTGTACTTAATTAGTTCTAAAAGCACTTTGAGGCAAATTTGTTACCTTAGCCTTCAAGGGACCATTTCCAGAAAATTTCCATAGCAAAATCTTTTTCTTAATTCTGACAAAATGTTTACCTGTGACAGAGCTGTTGTGATCACTCCCTGGTATCCAGGACAGAGTAACATTCCTCGAATCCTGATCAGATATCTTTAAACTCATAGGAGCATCTGGGACATCTGTGAAGAAAGAGGGATATTGGTTTATGTATCTGAGATTTATTGAAACAAATAAATAATTTCATAGGGAAGGACACAAACTATGGAGTCATACCTAGTACAGTTAGAAAGGCAGAAGCTTTATCCTCATCAAGACTTGTCCGTACAATGCAGGTATACATTCCCTGATCATTGAGGTTCACATTCATGATCTGAAGCAGGTCACCTTCCACAATGTATCTGTGTCAAATAAGATTATTTATTTATGTAAACAGGACGAGTATAGAAGATTAGTTCTGATAAATTCCTATTACTCAAAACCTTATTGCGAAATACCATAATGTATTATAAATACAATTATAACCATAATGTATTATCAATTGCAGATATGGAATTTTGTTTAAAAATGGAAAGCAGCTAATAAAAACACTTGACATATTACTGATAACAACACAAAACATATTCTCAATAAATGAATGCCTCCAATAAAAAATACATAAAATGTTTTTATATTTTATCATTGGTGGGACTATCGATTTCTTGAAATGATTTGTGCCTGAAGTCTTGTTTTTACTCTATACTTGTATTTATTTTACTTTATATTAATATTTTAAAGTTCACCAGGTTTTCTAGCAACATTACACAACATTAGACATGTTGGAAGACCAGTGGACTGCTATGGGGTCCTTCCATTTCCAAACTTCCTTTGGAACCTTGTTAGCATTTATAGCATCAAAAACTGATCTGAAAGACCATTGAATTTATGCGAGAATTTAGGGGTTTCCATTAAACGGAAAATTAGTCATCTGGATTGTGGCAGTTCTTTCCCCAGACCTAAACTCTGTAGAAATTGCATGGGTGGGACAAAGATAGGAGAACATGGATGGGTATCAGGTCTACCTCTAGAGCAAGTTCTAACCATTAATTCAGGTGGAAAAAGCCAGTTAAATGACCCCCACCTCCTGAGCCACCATCGCCTCCGTCAGAAGCTACAGATCACATCCTAACTAAATCTTCTAACAACTATAGAGTCTGACTGCTAAACGCACTTACACATTTCCTTACCAACTTATGCCAGATTGGTTGATTAAGGTCATCAGAAGGCAGATAAAATTTTCTTTTAAGGCACCTCACATTTGATTGATAAGAGTGATTAGATCAGAATGATGAATAGCTGCGTAGGGAACAGGGTTATTTTGTTATCCTCCATAATGAGTATGAGATAAGGGAAAAAGACAGGGCTGCAGAATGTTGTGTTGATTCATATGATATATCTCTTACTTAATTATTTAACATTTTGTGTTGTCCAGCAGCCCCGTTCTACAATTGGCACCTTTGGAAACTATGTACAGTATAACCATCGCTATATACTCTCCAACCCTGAGAGACGCTATCAGAGGAAAATAATCCTTCTGGTTTTTGGCATTAGAGATTTTATTAAAAAAAAAAGTAGTATTTGACTTAGGATTTTTTTACCTAACTGAACCAATGTACTTCTTAAGGTTATTCATATTGTTTGTATATTCTGTATTTATGCATAAATATAGAATACTTTTTTGTTTTTAGACTTAGACTTCTTTATTTGTCATTTTGTATGCACAGTGTGCATACAAAACGAAATTGCGTTACATACAGCTTATGAACATTGCATTGATATTTCAAATGGCAAGAGTTATACAAAAAGTGCAGCAGTGGTCAAAGTGTAAAACAGTGCAGAGGATAAAGACAGTGTGCAAATTGCAATGGTTCAGTGCAGATAGGCATTTGTGCAAAAAATGCATTATTGAGAATAGAAATGAGATGAACTTAAAGGGCTAAAAGTTAAACGTTCAGCAGCATTTGATGCTTTTGATTTTCAATTCGTTAAGATAACAAAAGACCAATAAAATGTTGTTTGTGAGATGTCTTTGATTAGCACATTGCTTATGTTGCTTTTCTGTTGTTTTGTTTTACCATTGCTTTAAGAGAATACTGAGAAGCTCAGCAAATCCACCAACTCAAAAACTATCAAAGCTTAGTCAGTTACCTGGAACTTTCCTCTGGGGAGCGAAATATCTCCTCCCCATCCTTCTTCCAGATCACCTCAAAGGTGTCCTGCAGACTTCTATCGTACACTGGCTGGCACATCAACCTGGCTGAGGTCCCACTGATGATCTGCGCATCCTGAGGTGGAACCACGATTTGTGTTGGTTCTGAAGACAAAACATGATTTTAGAGACAGACTTCAAAGTAAAGAAGCGATGATTTACGCAGCTAAACTGAAACAGAGAAATAAAGCTGTCTAACTCCATCTGTCTCACATATGTCATGAATCAGGGCAAATTATTTCACAATACGTACATATTTGTTTCACAATATAAAAAAACTCATTATAAGTGCTTAAACAATAAGCCTGCAAGTTCTTATTAAACAAAAAAACATTTGCAGATGATGTTTATGACTGCACTTTTTGATTAATCTGAACTTTAAGTATTCTTCTAAATAGTTGCAACACACTGTAGATCTTTTTAAAATTAATTAAAACAGAAATGAGGCAATGACTGGAATTTATGTATTTCACTTCTATAATTACTTTCACAAAGGCAAAAGCAGAATGTAATGCATTTGTAGACCTACCTTTCACGTGTAGCAGAGCAGTGAGATTTGACATGCCTTCTGTGTTACTGGCCATGCAAACATACTTCCCACTGTCACTTTTTTCTGTACCAGTGATTTTCAAGAATTGCCCATTTTCGAAAACCTCAAATCGTTCTCCCTTGACAACTGTCTCCTCTTTGGTCCTTGAAATAAAGATTTTACAAATATCCATTAATAGATCTGAAAACATTTGCTTTATATTTTTGTTATAACTCATAGTGATTTCAAAGTTGCAAAACAAAAGGCGCGAGATGTAAGATCTGTCCCCAGCACAGTTCTGATAACAGAGCACTGCATTTTTGGAAAATCAGCTATTTTATATAAAGACCTAAATACATGGAGCAGAAAACATGTTTATGTGTAGATTATTTTTTTCCATGATTTTCACTTTTGCAAATTATTCAGCTTGGAAGAAATAGATTTTTTTGAATTCTCCGTTGTTTATACTGTACTTTTTTGCATAAAATAGAATTTTATATTTTATAAATGTTTTGGAGTCTTCTCTTAATACTTACTTACTGTACACCTCTTAATGCTTTCAATTTTATCAAATTCACCAATTAAAGCTGGCAATTAGGTGAAAAAAAGTCTTTAACTTGTTGTAGCACATCTCTGCTCTAGAAACTCAATGTTCTCAACATTGTTTTTCATTTGGTCAAAATATAGTTAGCACAATTACAGTAGGTCAAACTAATTTCAAGCTGTCTCTCATTACAGACATTAGATTGTAGACATAGATACCAGATGTGTCAAGTAACGAAGTACAAATAGTTTGATACTGTAATTACGGTAAGTACACTTTTTGGGTATCTATACTTTAGTCTTATTTTTCTTTCTACTTCTGACTTCTACTCATTACATTTTCACACAAGTATCAGTACTTTCTATTCCTTACATCTTTAAAACAAACGTAATTCATTACTCTTGGCTTCAGTTTTATGTTTATAAATATTTATTTCAAGTCATGTGCGCCATCTAATGCAGATCATTGGCGCCATCCACATCTAGTGAAAACTAGTGTTTTTTGATGAGTCATATAACGCTCATTAAGCGCTCATTGTTTAGCTATTTGTCAAATTTGTGCTGACGCCAAAGGAAATCATCAGAAGCAAGCAGGTGTTCTTCAAACTGCAAACGTGAATTGTCTATGCCATGCTACAATGTTAGATTCCGAAAAAGATGTTGAAATGTCTGAAAGGTCGGACACAGGCGAGGACGTTTCGGGAGAAGGAGACCAACAAGACCTCCCTCAACCTTTGCTCTACCTCAAAGAATTTTTCGAATTTGTCGAACAATTTAGTTTTCAATTCATATAGTGGCATCTGGCTGTTTTTTTTAAAGGTTACTTTACACTTTTATACTTTAAGTAGTTTTGGAGCACATACTTTTCACTTTTACTTGAGTAAAGAGGTCAAGTTGATACTTCAACTTTTACCAGAGTGTTTTTAATGTTTTTAAACTGCAGTATCTATACTTCTACTTAGGTAACAAATGTGTGTACTTTTGACACCACTGATAGATACCCAAGGGACCACTATTTTGTTGCTGCCTGTAATATTTCTGTTTAAGCTCTAATCTAGTCTGGTTGAGATATTCCAAATGTAGGGGAAATTTTAACTTTTTTATTTAACCACAAAAAAATGGGACAAAATAATTCATGTTTAAACATTTCACATTTCACTCCACTTACCAAGTGATCATGGATGGAGGAGAGCTGAAAACGCTGCAGTTCATGACAATGTCTTCCTCTTCTATTACTCCATACTCTTGGAAGTCCTTTGTCAGCATAAGAGGTGCCATATCTAAGAGCACAGAGTGTGAGTGAGATTCCATTGTCTTAGATGTAGAGCTATAAATAGTAGAACAGGCTCTTGAGAACACCAGCCTGATATTTGACACCAATCTGTGGAGCTGAACAATTTAAATAAAAAACTATCTCTAGAAGACAATTTTCCCAAAACATAAAAAAAGAGTTTTAAAGTAGCCATCTAGAATATTATATCTTCTTCTTTGCATGTTTCTTACGAGAAACAAGTATAAACACTTTTAGTAACCAGTATTAAAGCAACAGAAATGTGAAGTTCTGCATGCACTTACTACGGTACAACTTTTATGATTTATAAATTAATAAATGATTGAAAACAACCCCACAAGCTTTCAGGTAATGGTTTATGGTTGTTTAGAAAAATAATTCCCCCACCAACCAGCTGTGAAACAATGCTAATGCTACCTTCAACATACAAAGTTTGCCTCTTCACAAATTCATACCTACATTTCTCACCTGTTAACACCCTTTCCTCTCTTTCTACTTCAATCAGAAATTTGCAAATTAAGCTTTTTTTCCAGTCATGTATTTTAAACATTGCAAAGGAGTTGAATTTTTATTAAAGTTTAGTATATTTCAAACTGAATTTAGAAGGTAAACATTTTAATTTATATTGATCTAACTATTCAGATTTCCTATTTTGGGCATTTATATAATAATAAGATAAATATAAGATTCAGTTTAGGCCCCTGGTAAAAACTTACACCACCTAGCCTATTGTAAGTAAATATTATTTTTTAGAACCATACAACTGCATTCCATTAACTTTAAAGCTTCAGTTGCAAGGCTTGTGAAATATCCCCTTAAAGTTCGTAATTTATAACAAAGTAAGTAAAAAAAAAATGGAAAAATTGCAGTAGATAGAGCCATTTCCTACTTGAAAAATCAACTAAAGCTACAAGGATATAAAATGAAAAAGAAGGTTAGAAAATTGCAAAAGAACAATTTGATAGAACGATCTCTCCACACAAATGCTCCTGATTCAGACTCAAGTGATGAAGACGCCTCTGTGTTACTGTATTTGCAAGGTAGCGACCAGGCAGACTGTTCATGGTTAAAATCTTGAGATTTCACTCACCAATGACTAAGATGTTAATATTGGCGAGAACACTGCCATGACGGTTGGAGGCCTCACACTGGTAGACGCCACTGTCCTCAGGCCTGGCCTTGTGAAGCATCAGAGTGTCATCAAGAACTCGTCTGTTGTTCGCTCTGTCATCTAACAGAAACAGAATGTCAAAGCCTTCAGGACAAAAGTCACAATTAATTTTTCAGCTGAAAATATAAAGCTGTTTTTTTTTCTCAAATAGCTTCTTTGTGAAAAAGCAGTTCTTAACAAATTAAAAAAAATCTCTAATAAGAAAATTCCTTGTAATAATCAAGAGAAACCTTTTTAGTAATTATCTTTGGTTTGAAAGCACATTTTAGATAAAGGTTGGATTTTAGTATTTAATAAAAAGAAGTATGTAGGATGTAGTAACCAGATATTCATAATCTTAAAATATTTTCAAAAAAGCATTTAATTGAACCTTTGCTTTTCTAAAACATGTTTTCAATGGAGTCCTAATAGTTCAGTAGTCTAGCTTTAATAAATACCAGCTTCAAATATCAATCCATCTTACTGTGTCACTCATTATTTTAGACTTTATGTACACATGCATTCTCTTTGAATACACTACAAAAAATTGGAATCAAAATAAAAAAATTTGTTCTTAAAATAAGCGCATTTTGTCTTCAATTGAGGAGGGAAGTGAGACACTTTGCTAATGGAACAAGACAATTTTCACTTAAAATAAGAAAAAAATATTGTGTGGTCTTATTTCAAGTGCATATTATCTAATTATTTCATTTTAAGAATAAAATTACTAATTCCATTGGCAAATCATTTACCTAGTCAAGTTAAGAGTAAATACATATTATTTAAGAAATATTGACTTATTTCTAGATCGTTTTAGCAATGTAGATGTAATGAGGTTGATCTTCTAAGTAAATGCCAAACTTTCAGTGTACACTTTATTATATTATAACAATTTATGTTGTAAGTAATGTTTTCTAACAATATAAAGGTCTGTCCAATTAACCCTGTTTAACACTTAATAAAGCATTAACATGACAAAATGAACTCCAGGTCCTTTGGTTTCAATGTTGCTTCTTCTTCTTAGTAATAGTAGTAGAGCTACAGCATCACAGCTACAATTTTAGTTACTGACCTCGGAATATTTCTCCATCTCTCCTCCACGTTATAACTGGGGGTGGTTTTCCAGTCACTGAGCACTTAATAAGGACTTCTGACCCGATCACAGTCAGCTGGCTCTGAGGAGGCTCTGTAAGCCAAGCCGGTGGCTCTGGAAGATGTCAAGAAGAGCTATGTCTGTCTTAGTCAAAACAAATGCCATCTCTGTGTCATTAATTCTGTCTGTAAATACTAACCTTCTACTATTACGTCAAAGTAATGGTCAACTTTTCCAGCAGAGTTTTCAGCCATACACTTGTATTTTCCCTGATCACTCTCTTCCACTGCAGGGATGGTCAAACGCTTTTGATATTTATCCATTTGTATCCGATCAGTCAGAGTTTCCCCCAATTTCATCCATGTCACAGTGGGAGTGGGACTACAAAAAAAAGAGCAACATTACTGAAACATACTAAAGAATGAACATTGCCCAATAACAGCTTCAAGCTAAATTAAGTTTAAAAAATAGTTCTGGTCTGAAATGGCTGAACTGTAAACCCTAAGCTATTAATTAATGAAGCTATTAAGGAGCCACTGCTCTTATAGAAAGACCCATTTAAAGCTACTGGTGTGAGGCTATGCCAGTTCAACAGCTGACTGCTGTCTGGCAACCAGGGCAATACTTCTCTCATAGTAAAGTTATCCTTGATCAATCCTATTATATACTGTTATGTCTTAGGTAATTAGGTAGTTTTACATTTTCTTTTTTTGCAGGAAGTACATTTTTTCAAACATAATAAAACTATACCAAGGTTATCATACTCTGGGAGTCTATTTTGAGCCCATGCCTTGTGATGACAGTGATACAATAAAATGCACATACTATCCTCCAGGTATACACTCAAGCTGCAGATCCTGTCCTTTCTGCAACACTTTCTCCGTCTGGACTCCAGAGGGCAGCATGATGCTGGGTGCTCTAACTGGAAGAACTGTGAATCCATCACAAAAACCATAGTCCTCCTCATTTGTGTGTTAAATTGAATCAAACATCATTTAAATAATACAACAAAGCTTATAGTTAATTAGGTATCAGCACCTTGTTAAAGATTTTAAATCAAAATTTCTGATCAGACAGTTACAGGACATACTGTGAGATTATCACTTACTGGGATTGCTGCTCTCTGAAGAACTGCTTTCTGGTTTCACTAAAACAAAAACAAAAAACAGGGCAGGCAGGGACAGAGGTGTTTGTTTACCAATATGCATTTGTCATACTATTAATGTCCCAGATATTCCCCTAAGTATAAACATGATGCAAAAATCCATACTATAAAAAACAATGTAAAAAAGAAAAAGAAAAATAAGAATATTTTGTAATGTTGAGTTAGTTTAAAAAGAGTGATAGAGTTTAGCTTTCTGGTTAAACCTACATCTTTCCACATTAACTGGCACAGGACTTTTCTGCACAATAGTGCGTATCTTGTGGAAGGCAGCAAAGCAGCTGTAATCATTGCGACTGTCATTTGGTAAGGCATAGGAGAAGTACAGGTTGCCGTTGGTTCCCATGGAGACCCTCTCATCCTGCTCTACGTGCTTCAGACCTAAAAAAAACAAATATGAATAAGTAAAACCAAGAAAAAAATTGAAATTGTTTTATGTTTTTGTCATGAAAAAATAATCATGAGGTTTAATAAAAATGTGGAAACAGGAATATCATGTGATAAAAGCAATGGATACACCCTTTAATAATTTCTCATCTATTGATGCACAAGTTTATGAGGTTCATAGTTCTGTACATGGCCTGCACATTAGTTGAGCTCAACAGTCCTATTGCACGAGGCAGCCATGAGCCAGTGCTGGCTTTATTAGTGTTAATAAAGAAGCTTAAAGGTATAGTGGAGGATGATTTTTTTTCCAGGGGGGTCATCAAAATAAGTGGTCCTCCTAATTGACAATCATTCTGGTGATATGTTTATGTAAGGCCGCCCTACGTCCTCGTCCCCAGTTAGCTATCTTTTTCTGCGCTGAGCTTCAGTTTCAGCGACCCATTGAAGCTCGCCTTTCTCACCATGGTTCTTTGAGAATGGCCGAGGATCATGAAAAGAAAAAGAGTCTACGAAGGGTATGACAAGAAAGGAAAGGCCTCAGAGAAGGCAAACAAGACCAGAGTGTTTTTGGGAGATTCTTTCACGCGATGGCGTACACAGAAAGCACAAGTCGGGCTTCACACTGATGCCTTTGTTGCAAAGTTTCATCTCGACAGGTCAAGTTTGGCATGCTATTTGGAGAAATCCATTTCAAATCGCTGCTTGTAAAAGTTATTTACCTCTATATTGTAACTTTCCCTCGAAGATAAGTTTAGTTATTTTGTAATTTTCATCGTTAGTAGTGGTATGGTGGCTACAGATCCTTATTTACCCTGCAAACACGTCCCAATTTCCACTGCAGCACACACACTCACACATACAAGCAGGTCATGGTTTTTTTAACGTACCAGAAAATCTTCTTTTTTGCGGGGAAAATTTTTATATATAAGCATGGGTGAGATGACATCTAGCCGAGCAACCGTCTTATCATTGCGTACCGGTATTTCCTCTAGGAGAAATGGGCTTGTGCATGCTGTCACAAAAAAGAGTGCACATATATTCAGTGTTTTGTGACCATTTAAAATAATAGAAGTTCTTCAACACCCATTTTTTTTTAATAATGTTTAGAGTGTTTCCTTCTATAAATGTTCCTGGATATGTATAGGGACCAAGACAAAGCAACAACAGAACTGAATTTAAAACGAACTATGCCTCAAAATGTTTTCACCCCATCAGTAAGCCTCTCCTTCTAAGCACTTAAAGAGCTCTCATGTTTTTTTTTTTCGTTCAGCCATTTGTTTGGTTTGTTGTGAGCTGCTGAAACTTTCAAGAGGTTCATCAGAAAGTGGGACCCCCCTCCAATATCAGGATCACTTCAGACAAGACAGAGGCTATCTTCTACACAGTACAGCACTTTTTCCTTGAAGGTGGTGGGAAAAAAAAAGGTTCCTGATTGGAGATAAAGTTCGACGTCTCAAGAGGGAAGCTTTAACACCACTTCATCTTAAATACAGCCATTACTCTAAATTCCTAGGGTTTGCAAGGAGTCATTCTCTATGGTGCTTACATTTTGAAACACTGGATGTTGCATTTGGAAGAAATGGCATGGCTCAGGTTATTTAAACTCAACAGAATACACGCTAGCCTCTGCTCCTCTAGAGTTAATCACATCAAGTTTTGAAGGGTTGCCCAGGTGTGAAAAGAAATGAGGCACACCATGATTTGAATTCTAGTCCTCATTCCTCCTATGCACCTGAACACCTGAGTACACAGGGCAGTAGAGAGCAGATACATTCCTGGCATATCTGTGTAATTGTAGGCACAGAATTAGCCCTAAAGTTCACCTTGTATTAGTCTCTATAAATTTCTGACAGCCATCTGCTGCACTGCTCTCTCTTTCCATCTCTTTTTATTTTTCTTTGCACAACGCAGCTCTATGTACTCTCAGTTCTATATTCTTTATATCAAGACTATAGTTTTTCTTTCTTTTAAATTGTACAAATGTATCAAGCAGCTGGAGCCATTTGTGTGCTGTGCATGTGCTAAAGACCCATACATTTTGATGATGTTGGTGGTTTAGATATACCACCTGATCGTGCCTTTGTTTGGAAATCAAATAGGTTAAAGCACCATTCAACATTTTTTTCTTGTGTGACATAATGTAAATTCAAAATAAATCATTCAAAATATTTGGTCATATTAGGAAAAAGTGTACAGTTTCCTCTTCCCAAAGCTGCTACTACATACTTTTTAAATATAAAAAGTATGGGAACGTCCATGTATCATGCTGATTGAAGGGTGCAATACTAAAAATCAGATCATACATTGGAAATACACTCAAGCACAACATTTGTTTCTGGATATGTTCTTTTCTCTGATGAAACTACCATTGAAGTGTCTGGCCATAATAGTAATAATACAACTTATCTGCTCTACTGAAATTTTGATCGTAGAGCTGAAAAGTTGTGAATGTGAATTTATTCCATACATGTAAACAGATAGTATGCAAACTGCAAATTCAAGAATACTTAATTAATCCCAAAGGAAAATTAAATGTTGCAGTAACTCATGGGGTTTTTACAGTAGGTACAGCACATAAACCACGTAATTATTTAGTTTTTTAAAACCCTTCTAATATAAGCTTTGCTCATTAGTTTGTTTTTAACGCATCTTTGGAGTAACTGAGGTGGGGGCTTATTTATGTATTTTTTCATTAACATTATTTAAAAACAAATTTTAATGAAGCAAAAAAAAAAAAACAGTTTTATAAAGCTGCTGCAGGGTTTTTTATGTTATTTGATTTATGTTATCAGAAAAAAAATTGCATTCTTAACTGGATTAGCATTCCACCATTAAAGCTTAAGTCGTTTAGTTTCAAAATAAAACACTTATTTGCTATGTAACTCTAATTCACTAAGAAAATATGAATAGTTTCATGTTTAAAAGGGATACAATGCAAATTAGGTCTCTAGTCTTGAAGAATCACATTTGCCCTACAAATACAGTAGAACAGGGAAACCATCATGTTGCTGCACTGTTGTGAAACTTGTTTCCTTGGTGCTTTGATCACTGATACCCCAACGCTGTATAAAACATTAGAGGCTTACACTATGCTACAGAAATGTCTGCAAACACTGATAAATAAGCTTTACTGATCTTATTTTTTAAAGTTTTATACTGTGGAGTAATTGATCACAGCTGATTCAAAAGTAAAAAGTTTTAATTTTAATGCTTAATAGTAGACAGAGCAATTTTTCAAAGATATTACCAGAAACTAACCTCCTCTACCTGGAGTTTACTTGATCAAAATCAAGATTTAATCCTTGTTAACAGGTTGAGTACCTCCAGAAACAGACAATACATTTGACCCTCTTTACCAAACAGGGCAAACAAAAGAGCATTGTCTGAAGGTATCTTCCTAGGCAGACAGACAGAGAAAAACATCAAGGATGCCACACACTAGCTGAGCAGACCCTAAAACATATCGATATGACATTGATGTTTGAACAATTTAAGTAGAGCAGAAAAAGCCTTGTATCTGCAACATTGAAGTAATAAACCTTTATTATAAAAATACGCTAATGCCATCTGCTCAAATATGAGCCTCATGGAGACTATTGAGATGTGCTTCCCAGATGTACAGTTCAGAATCCCAAACTACTCCACTCTAATCATGCATCTCTCCATTCAACTGCAGTAAATATTAATCCAGGAAAATGTTTATCAGCAAACTGCTCAGCCTTTTTATAAATATACTTAAACTAAACAAAGCAGTGTTCCCCTTCCGTGACTCCTCTGTTTACTTGTTAAGGTAATGTAAGCTGATGTGGCTCTTAGAACATGTAGTGAAGCTGTATTGAGGTTAAAAAGAAGAGTTGAAAAAATAATTACAAACCTAAGGCTACCCACCATATTGAAGTAAGTGATCACTATAGAAAATATGCTTTTATGTGCAATTTTTATACATGTTTTAAGAGCACAGATTTCTTTGTACTACAGATTTTTTTTTTCTGTATTTATACTGTAAAACATATGTCTGTCAGCATTGAATTAACAGTAAGATGAAAGCACATTGACCATGAGATATTTTAGCTAAATAAAATAACTGCACAACTAAATCAAGTGTACCGGTACATTTTACCTCACTATGGTTTTGTCAGCCAGAGAAGAGACACTTTTGGAGTATATACTAAGGACAGAATTGCCACCTACTTATTGGTTTAGCCCTATTTTAGGACAAAACCAATTTAAAATGTTAAAACAGTTTAGCCTCTTACTCATTTTATTTTTGCTATTTACAGATGAATTGTGCTGTTCCTTAAAAAAATTAAATATTGCTTTAGTACAGTACTGAGTATCACAAACTTTTTCCAGTATGGAGTTTAAAATTTTGGTCAGGACATTCCTGTCACATCTTTTTTTTTCTCTCTCAACAGGTATGAATCTTCTGCACATGCACCAACTCATATTTGTTGAGGCAGACATGTTTCACAGTATTACAGCAATCCAACTTTAACCCTTGCATTAAATGATAAAAATCTTTATGAAATATAAAAAATCTATTTTAGAAAAACGCACAAAAGCTATTTGGTTATGACCAAATAGTACATTACCAAACAACATACTTGACAAAACTTTTTCATATATGCTAATCCAATTTTTATATCAATTCTCCACTATCATGTTTGCTTGGTCATGTTCCAACCCCAAACTTGATACAGAAAAATAAAAGGGGTTGCATCTACTTAAACCCATCTGTCTTGATAGCCATGAATAAAGTCTAATAGTGGAAAACTGACATTGCACATCACCCTGAACGCAGCATCCCCACAATAAGACAGTAGATGGTAGATGCAGCATCATGCTATGTTAAGATTTTTCTTCAGCAGAGTTGTGCCAAACTAATGACCTAAAAAAATGACATTCCATGAAAATTGCTGTTTACAGACTATTTCCATCCAATCTGATTTAGTTTGAGCTAAATTTGGAAAGCTATATTTTTAGTCTCCAGAGCAAAGCAGGTAGACAAAAAAAATGCTCAGAACGTAGAGCCCAATATTCGATTGGGAAGTTTCAAAAGGTATATTCAAATCAGAACACGGTACTCTGGATCTGTAGCGGCTGTGGGGGGAGGCGGGGCACCACTTATCAGTGGCAACTCTGGTTTAAAAGTTCAGTCCATCCTCTCAGAGCGAGGCAGGATCCAGCGGATTGCTGACTGACTACAAGATTCCAATATTGCACTTTGTTTCCAAGTTTGAAGACGTTTCACTTCCCATCAATGAAGCTTCTTCAATTCAAAATGTCAGAAATAGCGTTGAGTTCGAGGTTTTATACAGTAGCCCATCAAAACCTTGTTTTTGTTTTGAAAAAGCTTCCAGTGTGGGAAGTGAAACATCTTCAAACTTGGAAACAAAGTCCAATGGATGGTTTTTAATTTTCTTTTTTTTTCAGAATGACTATGACCTGGATGACTGAGAATCTACACCAGCATATGCCAACAAGATGTGGCAGGAGCTGCCCAGAGTGAATCCAGATGCTGCAGCCCCACTGAACATGCATGAATCCGAGCCAGGTCAGGGAAACAGTTCAGAACAGGAAGGCTCAGAGATCCAGGAGTCCATTGCCAAGTAAGGGGTTCCGATCAAAACAGGAAGAGGCAGGTCCAGGGTCCCAGGAATCCACAGAGAGTTCAGGCAGGTTCAGGTTACAAGAATCCAACAGATAGTTCAGGCAGAAAGTTCAGATGGGAAGAGGAAAGCTCAGTAGTTGAGAGACAGAACAAGGCAGTATAACCGGAATACTACAGTACTTTAAAACTAGCTCACTCCACTGAGCCAAAACAGGAACAGGGTACACTCAGTGGATCAGAGCCAGGATAAGATCAGGAACACTAAGACAGTACTAAAAACCTCTCTCCACACTAGCCTTCCAGAACATTGAAGTTAAACTCAGCAATACAAACTCCAAGACAAAACTCAGAAATAAACTCAGCAACAGTGATCTGTAAGTCAGCAACACAAACTCAAAAACAATGATCTGGCCCCGATAGCTGGGACTGAGCCGTATATAAAGCAGCAGGAGCAGGTGGATGAGATGAGTGATAATTGGTAACTGGGAAGAGTAAGGCGGGTGAGTGAAATGAGCAATTAGGTAAGCTATCAGAGTCCTGATCATGACAAAAGGATAACATGGTTGTAAAACATCTCCCAAACCCACAGGGGAGGTGAACAATAATCTACAGAACAGTTGAAAATTATGCTGCACTTGATGTCTATTATTTAAAATAGCAAGAATGAACATTCAGTTTTATGATTATAACATCATAAAACCTGAAAAAAGATTTTAATAACTATGGATATCTTCAAAATACATGTCAAACAAACCTTTACTTAATTAAATCCTGAAGTACAATATCTTAAGCAGCGGCTTCTTGTTCATAAAGGAAATTTGACTCCCACACACCCCTCCACACAAGCATCAATACAAAATTAAGAAATCTATAAATTGCAGAGATAAACAGTTGCATGATGGCTTACCAGCAGTCATCCAATAGATCTGACGTGGGCCCACACCCTCTGGAGGATTACATGTCAGAGAAAATGGTTCTCCCTCCTTAATGACAAGAGTATCCAATGTTTCCTTTGGAAACTTGGGCAAAGCTGGTGAAAACAATTGTTGCATTTCATGATGATCATAAGAATCTTTCACTGATCTTATATTTGCATGTGGCCTTTACTTACTGGGAACTAGGATCTCTATCTCCTCTGTCATGGCAGCCCCCAGCTTGTTGAAAGCAAAGCATCTGTATTTACCCCTGAACTGGGCAAAATGCTTTTGGTGAAACATAAATGTCCCATTTCTGTTGTCGGTTTTGACTGTGGGGATATTTGGCAGGTTTAGCTCTCGGCCATCCTTTGTCCATCTGTATCTGTCGGAGGAAAATATGGACCAAGTCTTTGTCAGGGTTTTTTTTTTTTTTTTCAAAAATAGTTTATCTGATTTAGTTCTTACTGTGGTGGTGGGTTACCCCTGGCCTTACAGCTAATTGTAAGTGTGTTGTCAAAAGGAAGTGCAACAATGGGACCTGTTGTGTGGCTTATTAAAGTTGGAGGCTGCTCCACTTCAGTAAGGGAACACAAAGAGAAATGTTAGAAAAGTAAAAGAAAGTAAGCCTTCAACTTAAAATATATTCAATAATTGTTAACATTTTCTCTTTCTTTATTTTCAGTGTTTTCCTTCTGTGAAGCTGACTAAATACCACCGTATAATCTGAGCAAACATCTGCCTTAAATAGAGTGACCTGAAATGGCACATGAAAGCTTGATTGCCATGCATTCCTTGCTTTAAACAAGCCTTCAACCTTTGCCACATAAACAATTTACCTCAAGGTTCACATTGCTTGCTAAGCATTTTAAGAGCAGTTAACATTCCTGCTCAAGAGAGATAAACAGATATGTTTTGACCTAAAAGAGAAATCTTCCATTTCATCGAAGAGTTTTAATTCAACATTACATAATAGAAATTTGCGACAGTCCTACCTTGTAAAGGAATATTAAAGCCTTTGACCCGGGATGTAAAGGCCCAAACCAAAACTAGGAGCAGGCTGCTTGCCCACCGCATCACACTTGAATGATTATTGAAGACAATCTGGAAAATGATGCACATCAGCTGTTGTTTTAGTCGTCAGGCACAGCAAAACTGCAAAGGAGAAGACAGGAAAGTAGAGATTGTATGTTTAACAAGGAAAAGAATCAGATTATCTTCACTGATCAGTGTGCAATACTTGTTTTCTTTGGGTATGATGGGATCTTATCTTTGAACGTCAAAACATAAACATACTGTATGCGTCATCAAAGTTAATGAGGCGCTTTTCTCTGAGGTAAGTGCTTTAAGGTTGAAGCCTTTTTGACTGCATTGAGATGGTAGCTGCCATGATTAAGACTCTTATTTATAAAGTAAGAAATGAAGCAGTGCTTACTGCCCACCAATAGAAGATGACTTACAAGGCTAACGAGATTGTACATGCAAGAACCCCCTAAATATTTCACAGCCAAAAATGGAGGAGAAGCAAACTTTCCCCAGACTGGAGGTAGCCACTGCTAGATAGTAGATAGCTTATAACTAAAGCTATTTAATCTAAAGTTGGTAATACTAGCCATTAGAATTGAGTGTGTCCTTACTTCCTTCTTAATAGTCTGCATTTTGTTCCTACAGTCATGTTTCAAAAATTAAAATATTCCCTCTGACAAGGCTAGTTATTCAGATTAAAATTACCTTCTGAAAATAACAGCAAATAAGATTATTAAATTGGAAGTTAATGATCTCTCACTGAAGAACAACACTGAAAAGAACTAGTGGGTGAATTTACAAGGTTTAAATAAGTAAAATCTGTATTGTGTAATTTAACCCATTTGCTCAATTTCTGCACTTATTAGAATATATATTGATCAAAACTAATTTAATGAGGTTTAGAGCTGCAACTAATGATTATTTTGCAAATGGTTTATTCTGTCGATTATTTTTTCGGTTAATCGATTAATAATCAGACAACCAAAGGTTCCTCAAAGAAGATTTTTATTAAATTAAACCAGCTGAACCATATTTCCACTTGAGGAGTTCTGGATTGAACATACTGACAGATAAAAAATATTTTTTTCATTTTAAATGCAAAATGTTTACATATTTTTTTCAAACTCTGATATAATTACTACTCTAAGTGGCTTACTCCGCCAGCTAAAGGCATGTTTTACAGTCTCTATACTCCATTTAACGATTAGTTGATTGCTAAAATAGTTGATGGTAATTTCAATAATCGGTTAATCTGATTAATTGTTTCAGCCCTAAAGGGATTTTAAAAGGCGTCTAAAAACAATGCAAGGCAACCTGTCAATTGTTTTGAGACTGCAGAGAACATAAGAGATAACTTTATATGAAATAACAGTTTGACCTGTAAAGCTGGCTGGTGGCATTCCGTCCCGTGTTTACTCTAAACCCATATGACCCAAAGGCTAAGCTGTTGTCTGCTACAATCACTACATCCAAAATGGCAGTCCATAAATTGGACTAAGTCAGTCAGTGTTTCACAGCTTAGTACTCACAGTGCTGAGACTGTGGTGGCAGAAATGCCTGAGCCAAATGGGTTCACCGTGTAGCTAATCCCACTATCAGGAGAATAAAGGCAGGGACCTCCAGCCGTCATACATTATAATGCTGCAGAACAGCTAAGATCCACTTTGAGCTCTCCAGACGACACAACTGTTTTGGACTAGATTTGGGATTAAGCTCCTTATATTTAGTATCAATTAAAACAAATTAAGAGATTTGGCATTATTTTCATTAGGGGCTTTGGGATTATCTTATGTGATTTAAAAACTAATCTTATTCTGTGTTTAACTTCATTTAACACTAATATTACTACCTCCCCTCTTGATTGGTCCTTTTAAACATATAGAAATATGCAAAATTTGTGAATGAGTGAAATATTTCTTTGTGTCTGTTGAATATCATCACAAGCAAAAGGTATTCTGCCTTAGAGCTAAGTGGTAGGCAATGAGGATAATGATCCATAGATATCATGTTATTATTATGTTATTTAAAAAGAATGTGATCTCTTGGAGGGGTCTGGGGAACAGAATGGTGGTTGGAAACTGACTGGTCTTAGTAGTTAAGGAAATAAAAAAAAATAAAAAATAAAACATCTTACACCTACTGGGATGATGCATACAGTATTTGCTGGGGTTTTTTGGGTTGATTTTGTTTTTTACAGTTTTGATGCAAAACATTTCTAATATAAACCTTTGTGTTTTATCTTCCACATGAACTAAACATGAAATGAACAAAGTAGAGATTGGTTACTTCTTATAGATCTAAAACATATAAAAGGGTTTTTCATATTTGCTAAATCAGTGGAAATGTATGCAATCTTTTGAAAGCATTATATGTTGGGGGTCCTCTTTTTGAAAGTCATTTTATTTCTCTAATTTCACAACAGAAAAATAGGCCCTTTTTTACCCTTTCTTTAAAAAAATGATTTCCATATTTAACCAATTTTAATGAAGTGAACCACTTTTAATGAACCAGATTCACCAAAATTTACTGTAGATTGAAAGTCACTGGATATTTATGATCATTTTAACCATACAATTAAACAAAAATCAAAAGTAGTAGTAGTACATATTAATGAAACACTAATTTTTTATTATATAATTTATTTTTTTCAATTTTAAGAGTTTAATTTGCCATAAAAATGTTTACTACATAGTTTCTTTGTTTTTTAATTTAAATTAAATTACATTTGTATTTTACCACAAGTGCTGGCAGGCCAAATCTGTATCATGCTTGCATTGAATTTAGGGCCTGCATGTTGGACACTTCTGCGATGATCAGGGGGATATTAGAACAAAAAATGCAAAAATGTGGTTTTAAGATTTTTCTGGGCAACATTGAGAAGGCAACATATTACATGTGTTTTCAGGTTGGAGTGAAATATTATTCCCCCAAAATAGCTCACTAACTCGAAAATATCCATTTACCAATTTAGGAAACATATTTTACGACATGTCGCAAAAATGTATTTAATTTATTCATGCTGCAAAAGAGCGAGAGGCAGCAAAAGTTAAAACAAATAATAAGAAGACTTAACAAACTTCCACAGTGATATTCTTTTTTTTTAATCCTTCTGACTGTCCAGGCTGCAGTATCAAGGAACATCCTGGATTTGGAGGTTGGCAAACCTTCCAGAAACCTAAGAGTTAAGGTAAGAGATTCCACAGTTTACAGCACTACCTTGCTTGTCCTCATTTGTATACCATAAATAGTTTATAATGTACATAAGTTTTCTCGGGTATAATGCATAAATAAATAATTTGAAGTTTTATAGAAACTCCTCCTCCTACACAATGGACTGATGTTGCTTCCTAGGGAATCTTAAGCTCTTGAAGGAAATTTCAGAGGCAGTGGATATAGATGAAATCAAACAGATACATTAGATCAGAAGAATTTGAAAAGCCTTACAGTTGGTAAGCCTATAGTCTGTATGTGACAGTGTGTTCTTTTATCAAGATTTCTGCTTATCCTTAAAACATAGCAACAACTGTTTTTATGTATGTGCAGCAAATCCTGTGGTTTCCTGCTGCACACCCTAAGGCAAATTACCAGGCTTTGTTAGCATTGCAAACCAGTCTCTTCAGTTTTTAGCCTAACAAACCTGACACCAATAATAAAAAAATAAAAATCCATGGATTTCAAAGTGGCATGGGGTTCCTAAGTGCACACATAACAAAGCATTTGCTTTTTGGAAGTAAAGTAAGGGATCCATTACCTGAACACATGGCAGGTCACAGTCACAAATCTGCAGGGATTGTATTACCTAAGCCATTAGTCGGCCAAAGGCATGAGGAGTGTCACTACTACATGACTAATCCAGGCAAACACATGCTGTACACAGTGACACCCCCACTACTCCTTTGATCCCCTCTTAAATAAACTAAAATCTCATTTGTGCAAAGAAAAGCTCTTCATTCTCTCAAATTATCAAAGCATTTTCCGCAGAAAAAAAATCAAAGTTCTCTAAAGTAACCCATACTCACAGTTTTTGAGTCATTTTATATCCTCTAATTTTGCCAGTATCCTGAGACAAACTCACAAGTCCATAAAAGAGTAGAAAAACAGAAGTTCACACAAACAACTCTCTGCATCTCTCTCTCTGTCTATGTCTGTTTGAACAAACATCTCTGACATGTCCTTCCTCTTTCAACCCTAAACACACACTCCTCCTGCTGCACAGACACGCCTCACTCCCCACCGCTCCACTTGAGCCGCTGAAGAAGCGACAGGAAACTCACTGAAGTGACATATGTCACCAAAGCCTCTCACATGGCAGAGCAGCTATCAAATCCCGCGATAATGACTGGGACAAAGGCTGCACAGTGGGAGGATTCTAAGATGGCATTAAAAAAATTCGTGGAGACGAAGAAAGGGCTTGCCATACACTCTCTCTTACTCTCTGTCTCACTTGTTTCATCTTGTAAACCCTTCCATGCCATCACCACAAATTCTGTGAGGTTATTTTGACCTTGCTTATGCAGTCATTCAAATGCATGAGCTTTAGTTCCATTGGCAAATAGGGGAGCCATCTACTATCTGGAACAAACACATTTTATGAACTTTTAATTACTTGCGGTGCTTCAGAATGTATTTATATACTGTAGTTGAGAAAACTTGTCTAAGGCAAGCAGAATGCGATAGTTTTGCTATCAGCAACAGCAACGTTCAAACAGAGCGTGCACTAGGAGAAATGGGCTTGTGCATGCTCTTGCAAGCGTTAATAGGTGTACCTTCCTGGGAGCGGGTACAGGGCTGTACATGTGCTTTTTTTTTTAAGTGGAGAGGGCGGGTCTTTTAGAAAATTTGCGCAAATCCTCCACAATATCTTTAAGACGTCTTCTTATCCGTGTATATTTTCATTTCTGTCCTAATCTCTTTTGTGGCTACACAAACAATTTATATATTTGGTTTAAAGCAATGTTCTGTGATAATTTGCATGATTTGGTAAATCACTTCATACAGCATATTTTCAAGACCAAAACCGTGGATACATCAATAAGAGAATGGCTTAAAAGTGTCTAAATATACTATGAGATATTTATGAACTTATTTGTGTAGGCCTGTGTTCTGAACTTGTAGAGCTGGATTTATTA